CCCTTTTATTTTTATTTTTAAATTTTGTGACAGGGTCTCTTTAACTTAACTAGGCTGGACTCAAACCTTTGATCCTCTTGCCTCAGCCTCTCAGGGAGCTGTGATTAGAGATGTGCATCACCAAGCCCAGCTTCCTTTTTGTAAATTTTTTTTTTTTTAATTTAAAAGGTAGTTTAGTGCGAATGCCCTGGGTTCAGTTCCAGTAGCACACGCGCCCACATACACACTCACACACACCCATAACACAAAGTAAAAGCTGTGCATCGTGGCGCACCCCTGTAATCCCAGCACTCGGGGGAAGCTGAGGCAGGATGATGACCGTGAGTTCCAGGTCAGCCCAGGCTGCACAGTGAGGCCGTGCCGGTCTAAACTACATAGAACCTCCCTCCGAAGGTGGGGGGATTCTTTTCATTTATTTTGCTTTAAGGATGGATATTATAAGTCGTTTAATTTTTTCTGATTTATTTCGGTATGCCTTATATTTGTGCTGTGATATACTGTAACATTTTAATGGGCAATATTTGTTTTCTAGCCATTCTACAGCCAGCCACACATTGCTTAAAATTCATTGTCTTACTGCAAGGCTCCCTACGGGACTCAAGAGAGCAATGATCTATCAAAAAGTTATAGAGGGTATAGTTCAATGTTAGAGCACCTTAGCATGTGTAGAGACCTGGGCTCAATCCCACTGCAAAAACAAAACAAAACGACAAATAGACACAGTACTCCCACCGTGGGACTTATAATCTGTCTAGCAAGACAGATTTTATTTTATTTTGGGTTTTTGTTGTTTTGAGACAGGGTCTTGCTGTGTAGTCCAGGCTAGCCTTGAACTCCCAGCAGTCCATCCTCCTACGAGTGCTGGGATTACAGGTGTGTGCTTACCACACCTGGCAGCATGAGACAGATTTCAAATAAGTACCAGAAAATTTGTTATGTGACCTTAAGAATGCAGTAATAACATTGAAGGTGGTGGTGCTCACCTGTAGTACCAGCTACTCTAGAGGCAGAGGCAGGAGGATTGCAGATTGAAGCCCATTCTGAGCTTGCAGTTGAAGCCCCCCAATGGGCCTGATCCCACCTCCTACCAGGCGCCATGTCTGGACTCAGATCCTGCAGGAGCCCCTCCAGCCTTAGTTTTGGCCTCTGCCCCTTTTTATCTATCTACCTGGCTCCACTCCCAGACCATAGAAGAACCCAGCCGCACTCCCAAGGGAGGACTTGGCAAGACTATATATCAAAGTAAAATTTTCCAAAAGGGCTGGCAATGTGACTCAGTTGTGGAGAGCCTTTATCCCAGGAACCATGGACTCAATCACTAATACCACACACGCAGAATAAGAATACACTCATTAGAAAGGTGGAGGGACTAGGACATACTGAGAAGGGTTTCACCAGAGAACAAGATTTGATTAGTCAGGTTTTTGAGCTAGAGTGGGAAGGAGGGGAGTAGGGCAGACCATTTCAGCTAAAGGCGACTTCTGAGTGGAACGCCCTAGCATTTGAGACCTAAGTGTATCTCTTTGTTGTTTAGTCAGTGTCTCCGTGTGCCGTTCAGGCTAGCCTTGAACTTGTTATTTAGCCCAGGCTGGACTGGAAGTCTTGATCATCCTGACTCAACCTCCTCTGTGTTTGGATTACAGGCGTGGGCCCCCACGCCCAGCAAGAACTAGTCCAGCTAGGACTCATGTATTTCTTGAGCTGTGGAAAGAGAATTGGCTGAAGCTGAGCACAGAGGAGAGAGAGTGGTGAGAAGGAGGCTGGAGAGAGGGATTAGGCCCAGGGGAATGGCTTGTTCCGCCATTGTATTCTGAGGCCGGAGGAACCTTCTGAAATCTTTAAAGCAGGAGAGTTGAATCTATTTCCAACTTAAATAGAAGCCACTAATTACAGTGTTAGGTTGAAGTTCCGAAAAGATGACAGGGAAGGCACGGACTCAAGGTAGCTTATAATGATTGCATTTTGTATCTCTGTTGTGGTTGCCAAGGCTTTGGTCATTATTATGGGATGCCAAGTACAGAGGCGTATATCTGTAATCCCAGCACTTTGGAGGCTAAGGCATGAGGCTTGGGAATTGAAGGCCAGCCTGGCCTACATAGTGAGTTCAAGGCCATTCTGGGATACATAATGAGTTCAAGATTAGCTTGGGCTACACAGCTAGACTCTGTTTAAGAAAAAAAAAAAAAAAGCCAAAACAAAACAAAACAAAACAAAAAAAAACCGAAACACCCAGAGATAGGGAGTGAAAGGGGAAGTAAAAAGAATTAGGGGGTGTTATGTACACGTACCAACTCCCGCATGGTGCCTGTAGTCAGTGTGTACTGAAAACGTATACTAATAAAAATTTTAAAATGAAAAATGAAAAAGCTGTAAGTGGGGGTGGGGGGGCTCAAATGTAGATCCGAGAAAAAAAAATAAATTGTGGTACATTCATACCATTGGATACCCTGCAGGAAGTAGAAGGTATGAGCCTGAAGTCAATAAAATGCTGTAGGCGAACTTCGTTATCATAATGTTGAATGACTGAAACCAGACACAGAAGAAAGCCTGACCTTTCTCGAGTCAGGGATTCAGACCTCGCTAGAGAAAACATATATACTTGTCATCTGTTGTTTCCTAACAAATTAAAGTAAGTTTAGCTGGATAAGTGGGAGTGTGTCTGTAATTTCAGCTCTCAGGAGACTGAGTCAGAAGGATCGCTGTGAGTTCAAAGCTAGCCTGGGCTACATAGTGAAATCAAGACCATCTTAAACTACATAGCAAGAGCCTGTCTCAAAAAACCAACAAAAAATAAGTTTAGTGGCTTAAAACAACATGCATTACTTTATTTATTTAGAAGTGCTGAGAGCCAGCTGTGGTGGCACAAGCCTTAATCCCAGCATTTGGGAGGCTGAGGCAGGAGGATCCACCACAAGTTGAAGGCCAGCCTGGACTACATAGAGAGACCCTTCCCTTCCCCTAAGAAAAGTGCTGGGGGTTAAACCCAAGGTCTTGTACGTGTTAAGCACACTTTCTACCACTGAGCCACACTCCCAGCCCAACAGCATATGCTTGTTGTCTCATACTCTCATCTGTGCAGAGTCCAGGTACACCTTATATAAGTGCTCTGTGCGGTTTCTCACTAGGCTGTAATTAAGGCATTGGTTGGGCTGCATTCTTATCTAGCTTTTCAGAGACACATAACTGGGGAAGATACTATCTCCCCACTCACCCTGCAACTGGCAAAGTGAATATCCGTGGAGCTATAGGATGCCTGCAGTTCTGTCCACCTGGCAGGCTCCTTAGCTAGTGACAGGAGTTTCTGCACCTCCTGGAGGCTCGGATTCTGTTTGAAAAGGTTTCCACCGGCCTGGGGATCTAGCGCAGTGTTAAGAGTGCTTGCCTAGTGTGCCTTGGATTCAATCCCCTGCCACACACACACACACACACACACACACACACACACACACACACACACAGCAAATGAATAAAGTGGGTGTGGTGGTAATACCTGTAATCAGCACTCTGGGAGCCTGAGGCAAGAGGATTACAAACTTGAGCCTGGTTTGGAAAAGTTAGTGACTTGGGTTTCTGCCACAAAATTTTAAACATGCAGAGAAGTGCTGGGGCCATAGTTCAGCACAAAGGCCCAGGGTTCAGTACCCAGTACTGCAAACAAAACACAATGAAACACAGAGGGAGACGAAATGAAAGGCTTGAGCGGGGTGTTGGGTTGGAGGCCTGTAATCCCAGCCCTTGGCAGGCTGGGGCTGGAGGATTGTTGCAAGTTTAAGACCAGCCTGAACGACATAGGGACATTTTGTCTCAAAAAAAAGGGGATGGCTTTATCAATATATGTAATACTAAAAATCTTTGCCTGGAGATCTACTTTAAATAAATTATGAGTAATAGTCTTGGGCAAGAAATTATACTAGCACAAACTTAGAATATTAGGAACAAAGGGAAGCCACAGAAATGATAATGATGTGTATAAATATAGTATATAGTACAGTTGAGGTTTTTTTTTCCCTGGCACACTTGGGACTTTGCACTTGTGAGGCAGGTGGCAGAACCACTGAACTAAATCCCCGGCCCTACTTGAGCTTTTTATATAATGTGATTGTTGATATAAGAACGTATATTTCAAGTTTACAGATGTAATATATGGGAAAACTATAACGGAATAGAATGAATGTGACCTGTGTGAGAACGTTCTATATAGTATTTCAATGGTAAAATCCTCAGGTCCACAAAATAAATACTTTGACCTGATCAGGTTACGCCTGCCAGAATAATTCTTTCTCAACTGATTAGAGACCTTATTTAGACCTGCAGAACTGTGTCACAAGTGCCACGTTCTCCTACCTAGAATCAAATGGAAGGTCTTGCATACAGTGGGGGGAACAGAACCACCCGGACGTGAACGCGCAGTGGTGGAGACCCCGGGGCTCGCAGGAGGGCGTCAGCCACGTGGAGTCGCAGCTCCCTGCATGATGGGGCCGCTCTGCTGCTGGGCTCCTCTGGGCCTCAGCGGGTCTCTGGTCAGTGTGACGCCCGCTCTGAGCCAGGTGTAGGGCAGCTCAGTGTGGGCTGCACGCGGAGGGCGTCGGCTTGTGCGTCTGCCCCAGGAGAGCTGTGAGCGTCCCCCAGGACCCCGG